TTCAAGCCAAGTCTGCCTGACGTGTTATGTATAATACCAAGAAGAGCACCCGGCTGCTTTTAGGGGCGAATAATTCAAGGCAGGCCTGCCGGCCTAGGACGAGAGAGCAGAGGAAGCACTGCCTGGGTTCCCTTTGCTGACTTTTTTCTGACCTGTCCAGCCCGCCGGTACTCAGCTCTGGTGGCCCCAAAGCATCTGAACCCTTTTATCCCAGAGAATCATGGGCAAGACGCGAACACTTTAACAAAAAGAGCTTTTCTTTAAGAAAACCCACTTCAGTTTCACGTCTAAGAGGCCATTAACGGAGAGTGCCTTTAACAAATTTTGGGTGGTGTCTCAGGGGTGTTTTTACAGGAAAAATCAAATATGCCCACCATAAATCTTTTCTGTGAAGTCAACCGAAAGGTGACTCAAAAGTTCTCGGAGCAACTGGAATTTCCATCTCCGTGCACGATACAAGGGTCCTGGGATTCCAGAACGCGATCAGAGCCCTGACGGCTGTATTCCTAAACACTGATCTGTGTTACCCTTCAAATGCCCCTTCCTCCTTATCTAACTTAAATAATGAGATAAGCTCCAACACCCCTGAGCTTTGTTAAATCAGTTTAAGTATTTCAAGCTTTGCCAATGCGCTCCCACCCCCCCTCTCCCTCCATTTTGGGTCTTGACTAAAAAGGTGAAGAAATGTTTTGGAGAAAGCCTCAGGGCCCAGCTTCATAAATCTTCGCAAGCCACTTTCCTAAAATCCCAGGCAACCCAATGCCTGCAACAGATGGCACCGAGAGAAAGAAACAAGCAGACCACAGCCCAGCTGGACGCGCCTCTTCTCCACGGCGTTTTTGCCTCTCTTCTGAGATGGCTGCTCCTGTGTCTGTGCAGCTTTCTACCCAAGTACCTTTTCCAATATCACCATCAAACCCCACCACACAGGCCGAGAACGGGGCCCGCATCCCAGGGGGTGCCCTGTTCTGGCCTGTCTGTTTGAAGGGTGGCAGGGCTTTCCTCCATGGTTTCAATGGCACCACAAGTGCGACTGCATCTGTGCCATGTTCCTGAACTTGACTTGGGAACAGACAAATGTGGCCCAATACATGGAGACTAGAAGATGCAACCTGAGCCAGCAGAATGCTGCCTTGGAAGAGGAGTCTTATTTCAGTTCCAAACCACACATACTTGTACAGTTAACAAATGCAGCAGGGGATACTGGTCCACAGCAGTCATGTGGAGGCCAAAGGCTCGGCTGGCCCCCACCTCTTCTCCCCCACCCCCACCTGCCTTCCCCAGAACGATGAGATTGCATGGGAATTTCAGAGAAAAGTTGGTGGCTGTCCTTTTGGAACGCCTGCAACAAGGAGAGGAACTTGGAAGTATTTTCATCTAAAGGAACTTAAGGAGGGGGGTTCCCTATAAATAAAGTCATGCTCAAATAAACACAAGAAAGAGCCAATGTTTCCTGTAAGGGCACTTTTCAGATGGATTACTGGAAGGAGTATTCTTTCACAGTTTTATGGCTTACTTTGCTATCATCTGCTTAAAATTTGGGTCATTTAAAACATCGATGCTAAGATCTGAGCCTTCACTTGGATGAAATATTACAAAGGAGGCAGAAAGTCTCATTCCAAGAGCAGACTCAGAGGCAGAGCTCTTGGACTCCTGGGTTCTATTCCTGGCTCAGTCCCTGGGCTCAGGTCAGCCCTCGGTCAGAATCTCACTTCTAATCCCTTCAAATCATTTGTTAGTCCCTGTTGTCTAAACAGTGGGGAAAAACCCTGAGTAACACCCCTGGATCCTGTTCAATCAACGGGGATGGCTGGAGATGGTTATAGCTCACTTCCAAGAAACCGGGGTGATTTATCCCTGAGTAGAACTATCATGCTCCTAAGGGATCACAGTGTCATCAGAACAAACCCTCCCAGCACTGAAACATTTCTCCACCTGCGTGAATCCCTGTGCTCCTTTCATGTCGTTCAAAAACAATATCACCCAGCCTTTTATAGTTCTTTATAGCTTTCACATTAAAATAACTCTGGTGAGGCTTCAAACCTCTGAGAGGTACAATAAATAGCCGGGCATATTTATCCCTAATTTATAGATTAAAAAAACTGAGGCTTACACAGGCTAAAAGACCGACCGAGGGCCCAAAGCTAATAAGGAAGGGGGTTGGGACCCAGATCTGTTGTCTCCCAAGACAAGTGTTCTTTGCTCTCTAACATATGGACATTCATTAAGCGCCCTACTTTTGGACATCTAGATAAATGGTCTGAGGGAAATTGGCTGAAGTGTATCAGAAGAATTGGTGTTGTGTTTTCAGGGCAAGAAGGGTGGAAAGGCAAATCTCTTGGAGGCCTCCCGTTAGCATGGGTCTAGCAGTGCCCCACTCACCTCCCAGACCTTTGGCCACGCCTACACCACTGCTGGCTCCTTCCCCGGCCTTTGAGCTTCCATGTCCACAGGCATGTGACTACCTGGCTGTTCCTCACTCATCATTTCAGCTTTTGTTGCTAGGAGGCGTGAATGGCTAAGCAGACAGCTGTTCTGGGAAATCTGCAGTTCAAGTTCAATTAGACTGCCCAATTACTGTTTGCTTCAAGGCAAAGTGCATAGCTTCTCTGCACCCATTTGATTCTCTCCTCTCTTCACCTGGCCAACTCCAACCTATGCTTCATCTCAAATAGCACTTCCCTGGGGAAGCATTTCTTGACCCACTGACCATAGGTTAGCCAACTACCCTCTGCCATTTGCCGTCTCACAGCACCCTGTAAAATCTCCTGTGTTATGACCACAATTACAGCCAATAATTATTTATATGATTATTTGTTTTATGTTTGCTGCCCCACTTGATTGTAAGCCCTCTTGGACCAGGGACAGCATTCCTTTATATCGCTTCTGCTATCTTACCAACCCTGAGTTCTTAGGGACTTTTCAGTCAGTATTTACCTACTGAAAATGAATGAATGACACATATATGCTGGCTGACACTAACTGGGACCTTCTATGGCAATGCTGAAATGCTGAACAACTCGTAAACATGACAAGAACACCTTTCTTTCTGTAGCAACCATTCTGTGCCTTTCTTGTGCTCCTAAAAAGAATACAAAACTTTATGGAGATTTCCAAACTGACATTATAGAAAATTCAAGAGATTGCTTTCCGGTAAACATCATTAACGCTCACAGCACAAAATGATCATATTTACAAATTTTAACATGTACACCTCCATCCCTTGACCGCCTTGGGATGTTAAGAATAAGGATGGTGCTTTCGGAATTCTTCGGGGACGTCTGCGATACTCACGCTTCATTAGGTCGCATTGTTCTAACAAAACACTAGAGGTAGGATTCTTGGGCTTTGAGCAGACACGGCAAAAGGAACTGGAAATACTTTCGAAGGCTCCCTACTGCCCCTCCCCCCCAACTCCATAAATGCTTCGAAATATACTCAAGGATTGTTTGAGCTCTGTAGCTGAGAATAGAATGTAACTTAACTAAAGTAAACTCGACGGATCCTTTTTTAAAAAGCAGCTGCTTCCAGATGGAAGACATCCTGGCAGAGCGTGTTACATGGTCCCAGTCTACAATCTCAAGCATTTCCCTACTGCAGTACTGTGTCATCGGTAAAGTTTCCTGGTGACAGATAAATGGATTCATTTTAATTGGGGACGATTTCACTTCAAATCCTAATTGAGGGAGTGCTAGGGTGTGGACATGGCCCAGGCCCTCGGCATTCCAAAAGGGCACACTAATTCACTCAGGGAATATCTGCTAAGCAGGCAGCAGCAAAATCCTTCTGGGCTTAAGTGGGGTCCAGCTTGGCTAGGAGCTGTACCATTCATTATAGCCTTTGTTGATAAGATCCCCAATTAGTCACTCTGAAAAAGGGAGGCTAAAATAGGCCACAAACACAAAGAGCTAAGTTACAGGAGTTGGATTCTGTGGGATTTGGAGCCATATGGGCTGTGGCTGGTTTCCTGTCTCAGCTGGTATCAAGGCCAGACAGCATCCCACAGCAGAGCTGCCAACTTGCTCGGGGAGTTTCGTGAGGAGGCTGGGAGACTGGCTGGCACTTTCAGGTTGAAGAACTAAGAAGGGACAGACCCACGTGGTGAACCACGTCAGGGATTCAAGAATGATGCCACGGCGCTCAGGAGCAAGACAGCTGACGGCCTGGCAGTTTTCTTAGTGGGCACATGGGGGGTCAGTCTCGTTAGTTTGGTGAACAGGGGAGGTTTGTAAGGATGCAATCCTGTTTCTGGTCCCTCTAATGAAGAAAAACAATTACACACACACACACACACACACCCACACACACAGTATATACAGATACATGGATAGACACAGGTATAGATAAAGATCTGCAAAATTTCATGGCACATTTTTGTGCCTCGTTTTCATGTACTTACATTAGGCAAGTTAGAAATTTTAGCTATGTGTATACAAATATTAAAAAAAAAAAATCACAGGCCGGCCGAGTGGCATGTTGGTTAAGAGCTGGCTTGGGACACCAGCTCTGAGCATCAGGGCCCTGGTTTGGATCCCACATGAGGACCAGTGACGCTGTGCCCTCTACAGCTAAGATGGTGAGCAGCAGCTCGACTGGAGCTGGGCTGCCGTGAGTCGCCGGCAACAGCGTAGGCTGCAGCCCCTGCTGCAGTGGGCTGCTGTAAGTTACCATGTGTGACCGGCAGCCAGCGTGAGCGGCCGGCAGCCGGTGTGAGCTGCCGTGAGCAGCCGTCCAATGGCCAGCGACCGATCTGCCTCACCCGGGAAGAGCGCAATGATAATACCAACATGGGCCAGTGAAGCAACTTCTCCACAACTAGACTGAAGAACAAAAGGACAGCAACTTGTTTGTTCCCCTTCCCCTGATTCCCCAATAAAATCTTAAAAAAAAAAATCACATCATTAAAGCAGAAAGTATATTACTAAACATATCAGTATGGACTAGGAGAGGCAGCAGACCTGGGCTAGAAATTGCAAGTCCCTCCCCCCACGACCACTGACCTGGGGCCACTCAGTGTGGCTGTGTCTCTCACCGCCTGGGCTGTTTCGGACGCGAAATCCAGGGCACCTGCCACTGGCTTGGTTACAGTGCCAACGAGCCCTTTCCCAAGGCCGGATATGAAACCGCTCACACCCCCTTCTGTTTTCACACCTTCCACTGTCGAGGTTATCACACTGGTCAGTCCACCAATGATACCTGGCAGGAAAGACAAGGGCTACTGTAACCAGGCCAAGGACAAAAGCAACAGCATTTAAAGCTAAACCCCCCAATTCTGTGCACCTGGCAAAGTAACTCAGGGACATTCTGTCCATCTCTGGATAGGCCACAGGCAGGCCAACCGAAGATAGAAAACCAGCAGATATGTCCCTTAATCTGGAGTCAGAGAATATATATTATATATTTGTCAGAAGTATAGTATGCTTTAAAAAAATCAAAGGAAAGCTAAGAGGCTAACAGTGGGACTTTTCAATTCCAGAGCTGGGGCAGCATATGGGCTATCAGGGAGGGGATACAGACAGCAAGATGAAGTCAACAGACTAGAAAGTAGGGCTCTTGGGGAACACTGGGGTCCCATAAAATGTAAGGCAGAGAGATAACTAAATACAGACCCTCAGTTTTCAAAGAACACAATGACTGGGCAATGGCACCAAACGTTTGAAATGGGGCAAATGCTACCACACACTGCTGGAATCAGGTGTAGGCAAATCAGAGCAAATGAAGAAGCCTTGATGAGAGTCACCCCAAAAAGCTGCCAAAGCCAGCCAGGACCCTCACAGGAGTCGGTTCAAAAGACCAACCCAGGTCAAAAAGATATTCCAAACATTTTGAAAGTTGACAGCGGTGACCTTAGAGAGCCTCAAAAGTGGCCAGAAGTTGGACAAGGCTGGCGAGGACACGGGCTTGCAGGAAAGAAGTGGGCTCTGTCCAGGGAGCATTTCCAGGATTTGTGCCAGGGACACTCACAGGATGTTTACCCTTTGACGGTGGGGGTGTGAGGAAGCTCTCTAGGCTCTTCAGCTCTAGTGAGACAAATTGGTAAAGGAAATTCCTTGGGTGAGAACGTACTAACAATTCACAACGTTCCTTCTGGACTCGGGGTCTGTTTGCTCCAATGAGGCAATATCCATTCCCCAACCTTTGGCACAAAGTTCATGGCAGAGACAGAACATGACTGAGCCTGGGTCAAGCAAGGCCTCCAGTCAGAACTGAGCAGGACGCCCAGTTTTGAAACCAAGGCGACTATTATCTTTTAAGGGTTTTTTTCATCCTGAAGAAAGAGCTCACTCCAGGCTACTGCTTTCCTAGAACCCAGAGATAAATGGGTCTTCTCTGGATGACGCTGCTGGCTCCCCGTCTTAGAATGGCCTAACCGTCTCCTGCAGATGCTGCACGTATCATCAGAATGACTTGTGGTTGGAGGGGAGTTGGAGACCTGAAACCAGTCACCCCCTTTCTCGGCACACTGGCGTGTCCATCTAAAAAGTGAGGACAGCCATGCTTTCTCTCCACATCCCAAGGATGCTGGCTAGATAAAGGCAATTATGCATAGCAAAGCATCTATATCATTAAAAACCAGTCCTCTATTCATCCAATGCGCCATCATTGCAGTTACTAGAAAGAATGATTAAAGTTTTAATCCCAATGATTGCTCAATAATCAGCTTTCAAAGTACGCAAACAGATTAATTTCAGCCAAATTCTACTTCTAGCTTGATGTCTCCTTGGGGGCTGCTCCCTTTCCAGTTGGGCAGGCCCAGGAAAAGCAACGGCATTTTGATCCAAACCTCACCCTTAGGAAAGTCGATAAACAAAAACTCTGTCCTAAACACAGAGAAATACGATTTTTTATTATCTATATTCCTTCTTCCTCTAAATGCAGATAATCAAAACTTCATCAGTCTTGATATGAATTCTGATCACTTCAGACTATTCCTAAGAATCTGGTACAAATAGTTCAATTTAGTAACCATTACTAACGCATGAGCTATCTGCCAGGTTACCATGAAAAGTACTAGGTGTAAAGGTGAATACAAAGTGGTCTTGCTGCTTTCCTGGCCCTCACAGCCAATCAGAAAGTAAGACACACACAGCTGACTACATATGCAACCCAGGCTGCCACGTGTGCTCTAATCATCGTTCATTCTAACTGGGGACAGTGGAGTTAGGCAAATGTCATCTGAGTTGGGACTGATAGGCTGAGGAGGATTTTGACAGGCAAGGAAGCAGGCGGAAGGCGGAGCACAGAAGGACCGTGAATGAGCAAGGCCCCGGAGGCATGGGGGCAGTATGGGGCTCCGGGTGGCTGAAGTACAGCGTGGCCAGGGGACAGTGGGTGGAATTGTTGGCTGGGTTTACATTTCCAAGGGCCCTGCACGCCACACTACGAAGTTGTTGAGAAAAATACAACAAAGGGCAAATGGGTCAGAATGAAAGCATTGACAGTCAGAATTCAAACAAATTCGGAGACTCAATGCACTTGTGCCATCCCCTCCATCTCCTGGGCACATGGCTTTACAATCCCTGTGCATGTGCAGGTACATATACGAGACTCAGAAACATCTGGGCCACAAAGCTGGCAGCCAATTCCACATGTCCCTTCCTATGCAAGGGATGCTTAGGGAGCAGGAGGCAAGTCTTAAAGCAGCAGTTCCACATTCTCAAAAGGGGTTCAGCTGATTACACCTCAGGACACTTTGGGAACAGAAGCCAGAGAACAGGAAGGAACTGCAATTGCACAGCGTTTGGAAAATGAAGAAGATGTTCTCACAGGCTGTACCATTTCAGCTGCAAGGAGGATGAAAACATCATCAGCTCAGAAGGCGATGGCACACCAAGGTACCAAGCCAGGGTCTGCACTGCTGTCAGCTTTCTCTTTCTACTTGCAGTTGGCTGGGAGAAGGGGCGCCTCTGAGGGACTGTGGCGAAAGAGCCACTCCTCCACAGCCTGACCGCAGGTGACTTACCATGAGCCAGGCCGTGAATGCCAGCGACCAGGTGCTCACCACTCGTGGCTGCGTGGTACCTTATATACTCCCGTTCCGACTGATGTCGACTGTCCATCGTCTTCCCCAAGCCATCGGATAATGTCCCCGCAAACTGCAATGAATGAAAAACAGAAGGAAAAGAGCTTTAAAGCCGTAGCAGTGTTCTTACTATTTTATTTATTTATTTATTAAGAAGATTTTATTGGGGAGTTTGGGAAGGGGAACATTGTTTTTTTTCCAGGACCCAACAGCTCCAAGTCAGGTTGTTGTCCTTCAATCTTACTTGTGGAAGGTGCAAGCTCAGCTCCAAGTCCAGTCGCCGCTCTTAATCTAGTTGCAGGGGGGCACAGCCCACCATCCCATGCGGGAGTTGAAACGGCAACTTTGTTGTTAAGAGCATGCGCTCTCACCAGCTGAGCGGCTGCTCAAGGTTCCCTGTTCAATCTTAGTTGTGGGGCAGGCGCAGCCCACCATCCCATGTGGGAAATCGAACCGGCGACCCTGTTGCTCAGAACTCCCTGTTGCTCAGAACTCACCCTCTAACCAACTGCCTAGCCCGACCGGCCCCTATTTTAATTATTTTAAATAAATACCTTCCCTTGCTCCTGAGACTCAGGAAAAACACCAATGGAGAGAGACATGAACGGCCAAATTACATACACTGTGTGTCTGTCCCAGGAGATTGGGTCCCAAGCATTGGACACGTATGAATTGTGGGGTGCTCACTGGTGGGCACAAGGTTTGCAAAACCACTACTGAAATCTATAATGACATTTACCTTCCTCAATACTACTGCAAATTTACCAAAAAGTAAAGGTATAACAAAAAGGCCTGGGGGAGGAGAGGCGAGCTTTGGTGTCCCACAAAGTGAGGACAGAGGGAGGCTCTCTGTTCAACAATCAGTGGGATACAAAATAGGAACAGTGGACAGCTGTGGCTTTACAGTTTGGTATCCAATTTTTAGAGGCAGCAATTGCCCTTCAGTATTGCCTTTTCTTTCACGTATCCGACAATTACCGAGCGCCGAGGTGCCTGGCCCCAGGTGTCAAAAGGAAAAATGAAGTATATGGACAGGTTAACAGGTTAGGTCACTTTTCATACAAAGTGGCAGATTTGAACTCATGACTTTAAATGCAAAATCCTCCCCCACCAATCAGAGAGAGCTTTTATTTACCTTGGCATATTTTAACTAGAGAAGCTGTCTCATTCATCAAAGCTGGATAAAAAGGACATAAAACTCTGTTTTGTCACAAGACAATTTGAAAAGGTTTAAAGTGACAGTTAATAAACCACAGGGTACTTATCCTCATCGTTCAGGCATAAAAAGGGAAGGATATCAAATATATAATTAACCTTCTCGGGAAGGATCTACCAAAACAAGTGGTTTAAGTGCCAATGACCCAGGACTAACCTTTTAGAAAACTCACAGGAATGCTATTCAGATATAAAGCTCAGTGGGAAGGTTCGCAGCAAACAGCCGGCCTTGAAGACCCAGGACGCTGGGCAGACATCGGGGCCCTGTTACATTCTGGTCTGGCAAGGGGGGTTACACAGAGCTGCCCTGGAAGCCAGCAGTCCTTAGGCTTCTTGACACTAGTGACAGGAGAAGGTGAGTTCTGGACATAGAAGACGGATAAGAGGAAGAAACAATTCCAGGTAAAGCAATGGTTCCTGGAATAAGATACAGGAACACGCCTTCCGTTTGCTCAGTCCAAATGCTTTCCAATCCAGGGCAGGGATTACTGACCTTTCTGGAGATGTAATCCCTATCATTATTTGCTTTTTGCCTTATCTTCTCCGTCACTTCCTAATTAGAGAACTTCAAGTTAACGAAAATTAATTTCACAGTTTACCACGGGATGTTGCAAAGCCAGCAATATGAATCACGAAGTGGGGGTTTTAGGAAGGGACCCCATCTGAGAGCCACGAGCCTGAGCAAACCAGATTCTAGTTCTCTCTCAACTATTCCAGGAGCTACGTGACCCTGAGCAAGGGGCGCCACCTCTAAGCCTCCCTCCCGACATCCGGAGAATAGTGACGGTACCGACACTGTCACGTGGCTGGAAGGGCTGGTGACAGTGGCTCAGGGGATGGGATCTAGTTAGTGTTCTTACTGTTATTACCAGTCAGCTACTAGTCCAAGGAGGTACATCTGCCTCATTTGAAGAAAACCTTTCGAAGATTTAGAATGATGGTCATTTGCACTAGGCTTTACCCTAAAAAAGAAAACCTTTCTTCCCAGCAGATAAACACCAGCCTCCAAAGTGACTTTCTGGAGTGGTACCATCTACAAAATTAGAGTGCTGGTTTCCAGAACGCTTTCCAGCTCTGACAGTGTGCGATCTACGATCCAAGTTCGAATGTCTCTATTAAGCACTCGCTCTGGGCCCAGCACGGACAGCGAGGACACAAACAAGCAGCGGCCTTGGGCCTACGCTCAAGGATGACAGCCTCGTTAAGAAGACAACAGCTCCATATGTGGCACAGCCCACGACAGGAACCAGAACGCAAACTGTTAGCACTCAGGAAGCGAGAGAGGGGAGGGGAATGTGACCCTGGTTTCCGCAAAGGAAAAAAAAAAAAAAAAAAGCCCCTGCTATTTTCTGGAATTCTGTAGGGTGCCAGTGCTCTTCACTCAGGGTCAGGGTCCGGACAAAAACGTCTCTCCCTGATGCCACAGAAGAGTGACAGGGGCCTATGGGAAAGCTGTCATCAGAAGCGCATCGCGAGTGCTTCCAAGGGCACATGGGCCACCTGAGGTGGTCCGGCAGTACTCAGGCTACTTGCGGGGTCTTATTTGTGTGAAAAGAGGTATTTCCTTGGAAGACATCTTAAGGTAAGGTCCTGTCCACCTGTTCTGGCAGCCGACTAGGAACAAATTAAAAGTCCCAAAATACTCCCCCCAAGAGAATAATTGAGGCAAACTGCCCAATACCAGCCCCTCTCCATCCACTACCCATCAGTAAAACAAGTTTAATGTCGAGGGTTGATGAGTGAAGCTGCACCAACAGCCTAACTGCCCACTGGTTGTGCTGCAGCGGCCTCGAAGCCCCCAGAACTGCCTGGTCCTGGGGATACTCTGGACAGAAACACCACACTGACCTCAGGAGGATGCCCTCAGAGACCACTCTTCCCTGAAATGCCAGATTCCTCTGTGGGCTTCTCAAGTGCCTCTTCATTGCCATGAAAAGGTGCCTGCATCTATTCAACTTCCTCTAGGACTTTCGTCTGAATTCCCACTTCTCTGTCTATAAAACAATTACCCCTGCAAGCTGAGTTGTCCTTGGTCACTTGTGAGTAAAAGATGTAAACATATTAACAGGATATGATTACAGAAGTCTTCACCCCTAGAAATGAGATTTTGAGAACTCGGAAAACTTGGGAAGATGCTGAAATCTGTGATCCAGCCAAACCCAGGCTGATGAGAGGTTAATCGGATTTTACGGAGAGAGACGTTTTACAGGAACTAAACCAAAGCCAGCCTGGTGAAGGGTCCTGTGGTCAAAGGCTGGGCCTTGGGCCAGTCCACTGGGCTTCTGACTGCTGAATCCAGGGCACCACAAAGCCTGTGGCCTCCTCTCTCAGGGTGGGAGCCCTTAGTCATCCTTAATTCCATCTTCCATTCCCCATCTCAGTGGGGAAGTAAATCACACCCCGTATCTTATTTCTCCCTCAAAGATAGGACTGGAGTGGGGCGTGATTCCAGTAAGCACTCGTTATGGGTGCCCTCTGGCACTGTCTTCTCTGAGGCTGGGAAGTGTTATTTCGCCCATGTCCTTGACATTGAAGATGACTGTCGAAACACAGCAGATATCCAGGTACAACATCACACAGGAGTGATGGCACAGGACATCCTTTGAATTCATTTTGCAATTTTTTCAGAGCTGATACGCTGTCTGGCATGTTCATGGATGATCAAAATGGGACATGAAGAATGGAGGCTGCCATTCTGATTATTCAGACACAGGGAAAGCTAATCGCAGAGGCCCTGGGGAGAAGCTGAAAATCACAAGAGGCGCAAGTGCCATCCAGCTAGGCAGCCAGTCAATAAACCCATCAATCAAATGTATACGGAACCCCTTCTGTGTGCCACGCAGGTGAATGAGAACCATAAATAAGAAGTGGTTTCTGCCTCCTCCTTTAAGGACATTCGTTAGGAGGTTTCTGTGTGGCAGAACAGAAAGACACTCACGCCTGAGTTTGAATTCTGACGGTGGCATTTTACAGCTGCGAGGTCATAGACAAGTAATGTAATTAATTTCTGCGAGCCTGTTTCCTCATCTTCAAAATGGGGATGAGGAAGTCTACTTACAAGGATGCCGTCAGGGTTGGTTTAATACATGTAGAGCACTAGATAATCCATGTAAAGTACTAGCACAGAGCCTAATACACATGAGGCCTTCAATAAAAACACTATCGAGTTATCTGAACTTCAATTTCTTCATGTGCGACAGGGGAGCAATCGGATCGCACAGGGCCGCTGTGAGGATCAAGTGAGATGGGGCGCCTGCGAAGCCCTTGGCAGAGTGGAAGCCAGCGTGGAAGGAGCATACAGGCAGCAGGGCAGAGAGCATGTGCCAGGCTCCCACACTGGGAAAGGACTAGCAATTAGAAGGAAATTTGCAGATAATTTGTAACTCTACTCGGTATAAACATTACCTCAACGCCAGAAGCAGCATTTGCAGAGACTTAAGTCACTGTGGCTCATTTTGTAGCAATTTCAAGTCCACCAAAACTGAAGGCTGCAAGTGAAGGCTGTCCTCGCTAAAATGAAGGGTTCCAAGGAACAGAGCGTCCTTCCGAAAACCTGCTATTATACTTGCAAAGACAACAGTGATTCCCCCCATCCTTTCACTGAAGGGAGGAGCTTCACACACTACGCTTGTGAATTCTGGCCACAGCCTGAAGCCATTAATTCCTGTAAGGCTGTATTTTCAGCCTCAGGGTAAAACTCTCAGAGGAGCTTCAGGGTGCCAGTACTGCTGCACAGCGGACACACGGTGCGTGTCAATACCCCACCTTCCAAAAATAATCCCATTGTCTACAGAAACAGAGCCACTACAAATTAGGCCGGGTTTGGGGCTGGGCTCAGAACAGATGATTTTATAAAAC